GCACGGCCGAGCAAAGCAATATTGCCTTAACTGCTCAAATTTCAAAAAATCTAACTTAAGATGTGCTAAACACGTGGCCGCACAGAATCGCTTATTTCAGGGCATGACTGGGCAGACTTTCTTCTGTTTTCATTCGTTTTTGTTTTATTTGGTTTTGTGAAGATCTGAGCAACTTTGTGGTTGAGTTTGTGACGTCACGAACGAAAGACAACAATTATTTTAGAAATTTCAGCATATTGTGTATCCTGGCGTTGGAGGCCATGAAATTCACTACGTGCTATCTGGAGCGGCGTCACGAAGTGATCGATCGAAGGCAAATATAAACACGCTTACAGGGAGGAGCCTCAAATTTCGGTAAAAATTTAATTTCTGTTCAAGAAGCTTTATCAAACTAGTGAGATCCCAAATCATTCCTCGATATAAGCCTACAAAAGCCTCCACCGAAAATCAAAGGTTTGGGGTCAATCAATCTCTTTTTAGAGTTGCATACCGTAGCTGAATCTTTTATGAAATCATCGTGGTCTTCATTGGTGACTTAATATCCGAGGGACGGGGAGAGGTTGGGAAGAGGGGGGAGGGGTGCGGAGGAGGGGAGTTGTAAGGAGTTCAGGTATTTTCCTTACCAAACTATATATCAGGGCTCCATCCTCTCCAAGTTTATTGTAGTTTCGGTGCCGCTAGACCCCTGTTTAAGAAAGAAAAATGGCTGCTTTTATGCTCTTGGGATGGCAGAGACTTCCGTTTCTTGGTTAATCTCCATATTCCAGGTACCCCTCTTCATGGTGGAATCCGATATCACAACTTGGTTTTTCAAATGGAGGATTTGTCCTTGTGGATATTGCCCCAGACCAGACTTTGTTCTGGTTCTACAACGGAAAAAAAGAAATCAAATATCGATTCTCTATCGAGCCTAGAGTGTTCAAGTAGACACCAATTGATTATTTCCTTCCCATCCGTTGCTCGGGTCTACAAGAGCTATCAACCATCGTAGTTGAGATTATTCGGATAGCTCGACCTTATTTCTGTTCATAGTCAGCAGTGTACAGTAGTATTTTCTCTTGATTTTAATCAACCAGCAAATCCTTCGATGAAAAAACGGTGGTTACCATGATAGCCTATTCCATGAGAGAATTCCAGAGTAGGTGAGCGCCCATCAAATCTTTGCCTATTACTTGTTATCATGGAGAGTTACAAAAAATTACTGTCTTTTGAAAGTCTACAAATTGACAAGTCATTATAACTGTGTCTAACATGAGCACAAATCACCCTTTATGACCCGATTCTTCAAAAGTTGAGACGTGCTGCGCTCCTATTCTGTCCGGCTTAGGCTTAAAATTGACTCTGCAAATAGTGTTCACTCCCTTGTATCCGAATTTAGCCAGGTNTATGTCGATATGTAGCTCAATGGCTGACTAGCTCAATGGCTCAAAATGGTTTTTCACCTTGGGACAAGCTATCCCTGGGGACCAGTCCTCAGCATGTTCAGTGAGCAAATTCGTAACCCCAAACATTTCTGAACCTAGTGGAAACAAACTGTACCCTTCTGTATGGACGAAGCAAATTTAAAGAGTGAATTGCCGGTCCAGATCGCCCAGGAGACAGTTCTTGAAAAAGTAAAGCTCAACTTTCGAACAGAAGTGCTGGTAAGGGTAAATTGTGCTCTAAATGCGATCTCCTTCTGATCCAGTCGAAAACTTGTTCTCCTTCCTACCTCTTCAGTAAAGGCGTCGTTCAGATTCAAAGTTTGAACACATGATAATGATAATGACGGCGAAAACATGATTTTTTACTTCTATCTTCTTTTACTAGCACTCCTCAAGAGAGTTATTTTAAGAGTTGATATCCTTTCAACTTGAACGATTTTTTTACCTATTTATTTGCATTGTTTAGATACAGTTCTCTTTTTCAACTGTTGAATATTCCCTGGTTCATTTCTCATTTGTGATGTCCTAAGAAGTAAACATTTTCAAACGTCATCTACTTCTACTGATTTTCATTGACAACGAGTAATGAGAGATGGCATTGAAGGTTTCTCTCCGTGACCAAACGCTGCAGTTATTTTTGTGACACGAACTTTGGAAGCAGCATCTCACATTTCAAGTATTTTTTTTTCCTTCGAAATAGACTTGCTGAGCACTTCTCGCATCACTCTTCACTGTTTAAAGCACCTGGACCTTCTGACAACCACTCCAGCAGAAGAGGAAAAAGCCAAAATAAAAGTTGGATGTGTTTTGAAAAAAAAGCAGAATCCCAATCAATCCAAATCATGGCTTCAAGGTGAAATAAAAAGAAGAAAGATTAAGAAGAAAATAAAAGAAGAAGAGAAGAAATAAGACGTCATTCTACTTTCATTCCCATTTGCAAGTGTTTGAGTGTGCTTACGACCATATAGGCCTATACATTGAACCAGCACACAGTTTTATCCTTTCTGGCAGGTGTAGTGTCTTGAAAAGAGCTCAGAGGATTAATCGTGGCTGATGGGAGAAGGGCGTTAGGAACGATTTTGGGTAATCGATTTGCCGCACGCGGCTGTAGCGGAGCACTCATTCGCCGTTATTACAGCTCTAGCGTTCTTCATACAGCTCAATCGATATGCGATCGTTATTTTATGCATAATTCTACTATTAGTACTTTTGCTCTTGTATTTCTTACCTACTGCTGCATCCCGTTACATTCCTTCGCGCGCGACGCCCCTCTCACGGCGACGCGCCATTTCGTTCCTAATGCACCACACCCGGGGCTGACCAATTCAGGGCTCGTTCTCGGACCGAGTGAATGTTAGCGGCGTGTTCGTAATTTCTCAATCTCCCCTAAAATAGCATAAGAAGAGGCACAAGTCTTTTTGAGAGATTCAAGAAACTCAATTACGTGAAACATCACTGGCATAAATTGAGTAACATTTATTCAACCAGTATGAAAACACCGAATACATGCAAATGAAATGAGCGAGCGAGCCGGGATTGAGATAAATTTTACGTTCGGAAACTCGTATGAGAGCCCGAAACCAAAAGGATAATAAGTGTGTTTGTGTAAAACTACCGGTTATATTCCTCGTTAACTAACATAAATGGAACACAAGCAACGAAACGAACATCATCAGTATTTGCGCGATTGCCACTTACTGTAAGATTCATACTTGTAGCAGGTAAACTGATCTTCCATTGGATTCGATCTTCAGACGTGTTCTTTCTGATCCATTCTTTCTAGTTTGTTTTCAAACGTATTCAGAGCGCTGTTCGTTTCGTCCTGTTCTGTAAAATCTAGTCAATTTTTAATTCACTTCAACAATACGTGACTTTCGACATTAGGGTAGTTGGAATGTATTCACAATAATTCAGTTTCTTCCTAGATTGTTCTGGAAATTTCCACAGAAAGTAGCAGTTGCGCGACAATTACCATAATCTTCCAATGGAAATTTGAACCACCCGTCTACAGTGCGCGATTGCGCGCGATTGGATGCGCGGCACGCCCCACGGACATTATAACCACACCCCCAATCAATCGATAAACACTCACGTGTCAATAATTCTATCTGTTTGTATTGTCGACGTATCTTTGCCTTTAATGCACAGTTTTCGTCTCTGGCCGTTTCCAATTCCATCAATGCAGTACGGTATTGAGCTTCTAATGTTCCGCCCAAAGCCTCCTGTCAAGCATTATTTCAGAAATACATTTGCTCATCTTATTTTTTACACCTGCTCTTCATTGCTGATTGTTCAGTGCTTGAATGCTCCAAAACAAGGCCCTATGTCTTCCCTACTGAAGTGAGTGCGCTACATTCCACTATCCCAATAACCCAAATAAACACTCATAAAATGAAGCGTAGAACAGTCTAAGAAGGTACTGTATTGGTCATTCTCACTGAGGGATTCAAAACTACCAGTTATGTGCAACTTCTTTGCCTGGAATGGACCAACAACACCTCTTTCCTCTCCCGTGAGGATCCTTCAAAATACAGCTGGTCCCACTTTGTAACTGCTAAAGGCACATTGAAGGTTATTGACATTTCCCTGTCCGAGTTCGGGTTACCTTACCAAACACATCAAGAACACCAGTTTTTTTGAGTGAAACTTCAATTTCCTATGAATACTGATACTTACCTGTGACTGAACATTTCCTTCGAGTTGGCGTATCGTTGTTACTGCTCTGTCCAACTCAACTTGTACTCGTGATAATTCATCACGAAGACGATCTCGTTCCGAGTCGTCGGTCCCTCTTCTGGCACTTCGCAAAGCGTATTCATGTTGACATGCTGCGATCTTATCTGCTGCGCGTTTCCTGGACATATCATCATTGTGTCGATCGTGGAGGCTCAGCATTTTCACAATGGAAGAAAAACGGGTTAAAATTCAGCACAGAACTAATATCGGATATTTCTCAGGAACTGTAATTGACCGGGAGGGAGAACAATTGGCCGTATGGCCCCNTCGGTCCCTCTTCTGGCACTTCGCAAAGCGTATTCATGTTGACATGCTGCGATCTTATCTGCTGCGCGTTTCCTGGACATATCATCATTGTGTCGAATCGTAGAGGCTCAGCATTTTCATGGAAGAAAAACGGGTTAAAATTCAGCACAGAACTAATATCGGATATTTCTCAGGAACTGTAATTGACCGGGAGGGAGAACAATTGGCCGTATGGCCCCAGAACAATGAAAAGCAATCTAGAGGCTCTGACCTTCATGTACAAGTAAGCATCTTTTCATCCGACCTTTCCTTTGAGCACGTATCGACCCGGAATACTATTCTCGGACCACGTGCACCATTCCCTACTACACCGCCCCTGCCTCGAGTATGCGATATGATCACTAAACGCCGAAACTGAAGGCTCATTTGACTACTGTCCTACCTTTCATGCAGAATGTCATTCTTCGCCTCCTGAACCGCCTCCTCGTGCTTTCGTTTCCAACTTTCTGCGTCAGCCTGTGCGCGACGAAGTCTCTCCGAAAGGCCGTCGGCAGCCGACTCGGCGGCGGCCAACTGACGGCGTAGCTCTTCCAATGAAGCATTTGCGTTCATATTTTGACGTAAAAGAGACTCTTTTTCCTGCAAGTAATACATTACGATATTCATTTGAAGTGTTCGCCGGAAATCTCATCACTGAGGCTGCTCTTACCAGTTCCATTGATGAGAGGCTCCCCTTGTACACCTCTATTTCCCTCTTCATCAGTTGCTGCTCGGTATGCGACTGCAACAATAGATTAGGTGAATCGACTTTATTGATTGTTCTGTTCTAACTCCCGGTTCGCAAACATATTATACTACCCTCAATGTCTCTATTGGGTCGATACTTTTCAAAAAAGAACTATTAGTTGAAAAAACCTTACCGTAACCTATGCTTCGTTCAACTAGTGCCCATTGAAATTAATCCGTTTTCGTTCCCATCAACCGGCAGTTTCCCCTTCCACCTTTTTTATCAGATTTCTCATTTACCCCGATAAGTGAAACAAGTTTCGCTCGCTCCTAACCTGGCTAAGTTGTCTTTCGAGTTCGCTTATTTTCCTGTCTTTTTCAATCACATTGCTCGTAGATGGTGCACGAGACAGGCTGCAGCTCGAAAAGTCATATTGGGAGTCTCCTCGTCGTCTGTAAGTATTTGACGGTAAGATTTGAAGGGTTACAAACTGATTCATAGGGTAACTTGTTATGGCAAAAGCATGCTACGCTATGGGTGCCAGAAAGGTTTAGCAAAAGGTAGGGTCTCATGCTCACATGTACTTGTATTCATTGATATACATTTTTACTTATTTATTAGGTCGTGAAGAAAGTTCTTGCGGTTTTGCGCCTCAAACT